CCCGGGGCCCCAATCCCCCCCCCCCCCCCATTACATTTCTCAGCACCCCCAGCTCAAAATGCATTCCCGCGGCTATGACTGTGCCTTTTTTTAAAGCAGAGGAAGATGCACACTGTACATAAAACATTCTTCGTAAACATGTCTGAAGATTTAGACAGAGAGGATGAATTGCAATTTTTGGTCCAGCCTCACTTATTCGAACCAGAATATGCAGATGATGAACTAAGAGAGATGGTCATTTGTAGTATTTAAACTGTAATATTATGCCTTAAAATGAAACCATATTGCAATTGTTGAAAACATGTCACATCATCATTCCTTACATTCTGTAAAATTAGTATTTGTAATGATAAAGCAAATACCTTTTTACTATATTTTTTGGATCAAAAGGGATAAATAAATTAACCCATTTTAACCTGAGCCAACATGATCAGGAATAAACCAGAGCAAAACCAAATATGCTCTTTTGTTTGAACCTGCATAATTGTTCTGGTAAAAAGATGAAATATTCAAATATGTGTTTTTTTTTCTTCTGAAGCCACAACCCTCCCAAAATGTGAGTATATTGAAAAAAATATGTACTTTAACCATTTAATGTATGGAATGATTTACATATAAAAATATAACAATTTAACTTGCATTTGACTTATAAAGCAGGACAGATCATCAACAAAAATAGCACAAAATATGTTTGACTGAAATACTACAACAATGTTCATTTTGATCCCTGCTAAAGATGAAGTTGTTTCACTAGACATGATGGAAAAGGAAGCTTACTCAACTTAATCTTTAATCTTAACTTTGTGTTTATAAATAGTTATAAAAATAAAAAAAAACTGAAAATCTTTAAAACAAGTCCTAATAACACCCCAGGTAAAAGTGAAAATAGTTGTGATACTATTAAAGACAAATCACTATTGATATTTTAATATGTACCATGCTGTTTACATGCTATTCCAATAGCTGTAAAGAATGCCATGATACTATCAGAGCTTTGGATGTTATCACTGTGTTGATAATCTATTGGTTTACCTACAGAGTTGTTTACACGCTGTACACACAGGCTTTGATCTTCGTCAAGACCTCCTTCATCGCTGCCAAAAGATATATGCTGGTTTCATTTCATATTGTTCGTAGGTCTATATTCCACTTCATCCAGCCTTATTTTCATTCTCTGTTCTAAATATTGCGTTTCAGTTTAATGAAGTGAGAACAGTTCAGGGCACATTAGCAAACTATGCAAATAATTCAAACTGAATCACGAACCGATTCAGACAATGATGCTAAACAGTTTGACCAAAATTCTTTGTAAAGAACTGATTCATTGCAGTGATTCATCGGGAATGGGAGACAGAGCTGGGTATTAACTGATTACATGTAATCTGGATTATGTAATCAGATTCCAAAAATTAATTACATTTTAAAATACTCGTAATCAGACTACAGTTACTTTTTTATGGATTAGATGATTACATATTATTTTCAAAATAGCAATAAATTACTCATAATTTATTGAGTCTCCCTAATTCCTCTTTTTCATCTTTTAAGCGTTCCTTTCTAAAATAGCCTTCTGCTTATATACACTCAGAAAGTCCTCCAGTTTTGTGGACATTCACACGAAAACCAGTCATTAGTCAGGTGGCGACACAACACTTGACCAATGATTTACAAAAATAATTTCAGGTTTAAGAAGTGTTTAAATATTGCATCAACTACTGATGAACACATTCATTTTTATTTTAATTAATTACAGTATCACTCTGTAGGTTATTTAACCATGTATTTCCATGTCTTTAGAAGTATTTTGTCTTTCAAACACATTGAAATGCACAAATTCATGAATTTTTTCTCATCTGATCGTCTTTCACCTAATATATTTACTTGAAGTACCCCTGAGATTTTAAAATAAATATTTTAATAATTAAGAATCACATTTGAATGTTCATGGTTCTCTGATGTTGGCTATGGTCATGTGTGTAAACAAATAAAAAAAAAATATATTTTTTGTTTAGCAAGTGTTTTATTTTTATTGATTTTGTAATTACTTATTTTAATTTACATTTTTTTATGATTTAATTAATTATTAGCTTTTCATTAAACTCATAAACCCCCTACAGTTCATTCACAAACCCCAGTTTGGGAAACCGTGACATAAAATAATGTTTAATGCACTTAATGTTGTTAATAACAATGAAAGAATATATTTTCTTAATCTAAGTATTTTTATATCAATATGATTATCAACAAGTTTATCCTATTAAAAATCAATGCAATAAACGCTATAACTGCGCCTGTGATTAGTGACGAACTCGGAAGTGCGGAGGAGAGAGCAAAACAAAACACCGCTCAAGAATTAGAAGTACAAAACGAGGATTTGTAAAGAAAAATGTAGGATATAAGCCCAGAGGAGACTGGTTTTCCTTTGCTAAAGTAAGGAAACTTTGCTTCCTTTGCTCCTGTA